CCAGCTTTCCTCTGTGAGAAGCCAGAGCCAGAGGCTCCATTCCCGGGAGGGAGTGCCCTCTAGTGCAGGGAGAGTGAAGGCCAGAGGAGGCAGCTGCTGGCCAAGGAGGGCAGGGCCAAGGCCAAGTCTGAAAGGGAGGAGCTGCCAGCCAATGAGAGGTGAGTTGCCTGTACCCTGACCTGCATGGGATCCCCAGGTATATCTGAGTGTGAGTGTGAGTGGTTTTCCTTGGGAAGCCTTTTCCCACTGAAGGATCTGGACTCTAGTAGGTTAAGATGTTAACACGGTGGAGAAAGTTGCTTGGTCTCCTCTCTTGAATTCTTCATAAGAAAATTTTCTCTGTTGGCTGTGGGTTCTGGGTTTACCTCTACCCAGTTTCTTCCCTTTCTCTCGAACCCCAGATCTTTATGTATTATGTCTCACTTGTGTCCTTTTTTGGTATTTCATCTTTAAGTATACAAAATGCATAATAATGTGAGCCAAGGTGGCTGAACCTTGGTTCCAGCCTATCCTGTCAGCTCAGTGTTTGTGATTGGAGGTGGGTATGGGACTGGGGGTGGGAGACACCCTGGAATGATCAGAGGTTGGGCTTAAGCCTTGCAGTTTCAGCCCAGTGATGTGACACCTTAGGACAGTATTTGCCAAGGTAACATTAGTGGTTGAGAAAGAACCATGGTCAAGTGACCAAGGTGCAGACCTCCTGTTGACCAGAATTGATTTTTGGTTTCCAGATAGCTTTGCAGGAGGCTGGCCTACAGGATTTCCATCTTGGGCAAGCTAATCCTTGCCTCTCTTTTGGCCCATGAGGGAGTCGGAACATTGTCCCACATGTGTATTAGGTGCCTGTCCTCATCTGTGATGGGCTCATTTCATCTTCTGTGCACAGTTTTCTCAGATGAAAGAAATCTTGGGTGTTATTTGCCAAGAGATTGCTTGTTCTACTTTAGGAAGCTCCTACATGCTCAAGTCTTAAATGGTGGTCCCCAGCATTTTCCATCTGAGAACTACTGATTATTTAAAAAGACCCCAACAACTTCTGGAGGGTGATAATCTCCTATTTTATCTCAAACCTTCTCCTGTATTTTCTCAGTAAGATAATTGGGAGAAGAGTTGATGTTTTGGTTGACATCTCAGGGAGCTGATATTTCATTTTGATTGAACACAAGTAAGAATTCATTTCTGCCTGGCAACAGAAAATGTTCCTGCAGCTGGGAAGGACAGTAGAGGTCCTAGAATTTAACCTCCTGGGCTCACGTTGAGACTCTTCACCACCAGAAACTCAAGCAGGTTGTGGAGAGGTTTCAGGCAGAGGCTGTGGAGTCAGACAGGCCTAGGTGTGGTCCTGCTATGCTCCTACTGGTTGGGTAACTTAGGCCCAGTTTCCTGATGGTAAGAGTGGATCTCATAAGGTACTGTGAGGGGAATTTAATGGAACGTCTGTTTAGTCCTTAGCAAATACCTGTGATATAGAATGTTGTAACTGTTGCTGTTACTAGCATCTGTTGGGATTTTTGTGGGGTGGAGGATAAAACTGGATGACCTACTATAACTCTGACTTTCAAATAGTGCTGGGGATGAAGCTTGTCCTGTCCCTACCTATAGTTTACTTCTTCTGAGCCTTGGTATGTTCACTTAAAAAAGTGGGGTTAATAAAAATTACAACTAAAATATAGAACTATCATTATTCAGAATAGTCAGAATTCAAGTTGAAGTCTGACAACAATGGAATCAAAGAAACCACGTCCATCCAGACTGGTAGGAGGAGTGGAGATGTGGAACAGGCTGGTCTCACATCCATGTGTGGTGGATAAAAATTCTAGAGAAATATCTTGGGGGCAAGGAGTCCCAGCTGCACACCAGGCTCCCCAGCCCAGGGTTCCAGTGCCAGGAAGATAAGTCTCTATACCTTATGGCTGCAAGAACCAGCAGGGATTAAGCTGGTGGAAGAAACTTCTGGAGTCCCAAGCAGTTGCCCTTAAAGAACTCACACATGGACTTAGACTCACTCCCTCTGAGCTCCAGCATTACCTCAATGCAGCTTGAAAGGCACCAGTGGCATACGGGGAGGAACTGAAATTCCTGGTGTTAAGGCTGGAGCTGGGGAACTGCTTTCTCCCAGACAGAAAGGCAGGCAGAGGCCACTGTCCCCTTTTCTGAGCCTTTCCTTCACAGAGCCACAGAGCCAGAAGATGGGTGCTATATCTGAGGATCCATCAACCTGGCTAACAATGTTTGCCCCACATGGAGATCCCCTAAGACTCCATCCCCCCCAATTTATGGGACCATCGAAACTATTAACCGTGACTTTTCTATATGAATGATTGGTTTTGGCTCATGTTTCCCAACTTCCTAAATCCTACCAACAAGCAACAGCAAGTCTCGGTAAGCCCCTGGCTACCATACATTTTGCTATGTTCCCCCAGGCCTGGCACTAGCAGCAGCCAGCGTAGATTCACAGCTTGGCTTCACCTGGGAATCTCCAAGACCAGTACAAGTAGCAGCCATCTCAGATTGCTTTAGAGCTCATGCAGGGTGGCCCCGGGCTGAACACAGATGGAGGCTGACCTTAGGTCACCACCCAGGAAACCACAGAGCCTGCACATCCAGTAGACAGTTACAGACCATGTTGGAACACTACCACCTTGCTCCTGCACAGCTGATCCTCCACGAGGGCAGAGGTTGGTGGTCAGTGGTCACAGCCAGTCTTTGTACTACAAGAGGAGGGTGTACTCAGCTCACAAAAAGGGCACACCTGGAGTACACAGTTTGGGTGATATGGGAGGCTGTGCAACTGGACCCTACAGGATACCTACATTAGGCCATGCTACCGAGACAAGGAGTCATAGCTGCTCTACCTCATATATAGAAACAAACTCAGAGAGGCTGCCAAAATGAGGAGACAAAGAAACACGGCCCAAATAAAAGAACAGATCAAAACTTCAGAAAAAGAACCGAACAATATGGAGATAAGCAATCTATGAGATGCAGAATTCAAAACACTGGTTACAAGGATGCTCAAGAAACTTGGTGAGGACCTCAACAGCATAAAAGAGATCCAATTAGAAATGAAGAATACATTAATTGAAATAAAGAACAGTAGAGTGGATGAAGCTGAGAATCAAATCAATCATTTGGAACACAAGGAAGCAAAAAACAACCAATCAGAACAACAACAAGAAAAAAGAACCTAAAACAAGGCTAGTGTAAGCAGCATTTGAGACAATTTTAAGTGTTCCAATGTTCTCATCATAGGGGTGACAGAAAGAGAAGAGAAAGAGTAAGAAATTGGAAATCTATTTGAAAAAATAATTAAAGGAAACTTCCCTTGTTTGGTGAAGGAAATAGATATTCAAGTCCAGGAAGCACAGAGAGTCCCAAATAAGATAGATGCAAAAAGGCACTCCAAGACACATCATAATTAAAATACCAAAGTTTAAAGATAAAGAAAGAATCTTAAAAGCAGCAAAAAAAGTAGTTAGTTACCTATGGGGGAGTTTCCATAAGATTGTCAGCTGATTTGTCAAAAGAAACCGCAATCTAGAAGGGATTGGCAAGAAATGTTCAAAGTCATGAAAAGCAGGGACCTACAGCCAAGATTGCTCTTCCCCAAAAAGGTATCATTTAGAATGTAAGGGCAGATAGAGAGCTTCCCAGACAAGAAAAAACTAAAGGAGTTAATTATCACCAAATCATTATTATAGGAAATGTTAAAGGGACTTATTTAAGAAAAAAATCAAAACTATGAAGAATAAATGAAAATAAATACATACTAAGCAAACAGGAAGAACAGAGACAGAATCATGTATACAGAAATCACGTTGATAGTTGCCAGGTGGGAGGGGCATGTGGGGAAATGGGTGAAGAGGTGAGGAGATTAAGAAGTACAAATAGGTAGTTACAGAGTAGCCATGGGGATGTAAAGTACAGTATAGGAAATGGAAGAGCCAAAGAAATTATACGCGTAATCCACGGACATGAACAATGGTGTGGGGATTGCCTGAGGGAGGGGTAGGTGTTGAGTGGAGGGGGGCAAAGGGGGAAAAATCAAGACAACTATAATAGCATAATCAATGAAATATAATTAAGAACACTTTTAAAAAGTGAAGTTAATAATACAGGAATTTTTAAAGGATTATATATAAACTTACAGCATATATGTGAAAATATGTGTTGTAAGACATTTTCTTACTATGAATAAACAAGGTTTATTCATAACAGCTACTAAAGGATATTGGAAAGTGTTATTGTCTATACTGGAAGGCTTCAGATGAGGCACTGGGCTCTTCTCAGGGACCTGGAGCTCCCAGGTGCCGTGACTCGCGTGGAGTGGTGGTCCCTCAGTTGGGGTGAAAGGAGGTTTAGAAAGACACAACACAAACAGTTTAAAGAAAAGCAGGGGCCAGGTGGGGCACTGTCCTCTGATGGAGAGACAATGACAATGACCACAGTCTCCACGTTAATTTTATAGGGGTTGGATAGATAAAGCTCAAGAGCGTTTTGCAGACTCAAAGGAACGCTGTGGGCATGGATTGTTCCGTTCCCAGGCTATCTACATGATAAAGCTTTCCTCTGCAAAGGTTGCAGTCATCTTCTGCCGAAGCTTGCGGTTATCCACTCCCTTTTCAACCACCTCCTGCTCCCCCCTTACTCCGGGTTCGGGCTGCCATCAGCTGCCAGCTTGCTCTGCCTTGCAGATGCAAGCAGTCAAGCGTAGCCTTGCCAAGTGCTTAACCTGGCTTTTGATGTCAGCCTTCACCATCATCCACATCAGGGTCGTAGGAAGTGGGCAAGGGTGATGACTAGACAGAGGTGTTGGTGCCGTCACCTTTACTGAGCACCTGCTGAGAGTCAGGCTCTGTGTTAGGGATGATGAGAAGCCTGGCCAGGTGCCAGCCTTGAGGAGGCCTACATTTTGGGTGGAGGACAGACAGGGCACCATGTAGGGCTGTACCCTGTTTGAAAAGTGAGCCCAGTTGGATTAACTGTCCATATCTCTTTCAGGGCCGCTGTCCTCGCTCTTCTCATTTGTGTCCTGGGACCACGTGAGGATGCTGCTGTGGCTTCTTTTCTTCTCAGCTCTGGGTCTTAGTGCCTGGGGTAAGTTTTCTTTCCTTGGGTCAGAAGTGTTTTTGGCATCAGCATCAGCCTGGTTTCACTTGCAAATTGCCCTCTCCAGGCTCATCACCCCTCCCCACCAGTTCCATGCTTCCGTTTGGAGCCCGGCTCTGGTCCCTCCTCCCTGCTGAGATGGGCTCTAGTCCTCCGTCTCTCCAGCTTGCCCAGCACACCTCGTCCTCAGTGTCATCGTCATGTATATGTTCCTGATGACTTTACAAAAGGGCATAATCTCAGCCTTGGTAGAGACCCTTACTGACTTTGTCTTATAGGCAGAGAAACAGACCACGCTGTGGCAGTGATAAGGTCATCTGTCTGAGGTCATCTGACAACTTTGGGGAGGCTGCAGAGTATAATAGTTAGGAACATGGCTCTGGGGTCAAACAGCTTGGGTTGGGATCCAAGTCTATGGCTGAAGGCCTGTATCATCTTAGATAAGTAACTTAACCTCTCTGATCCTTAGTGTCTCATCTGTGTAGAGAGAGTAGTTCATTTGCTTTGCTTATCTTATAAAGTTGTTTTAAGCCACAAATCTTATAGTGTTCTTGAAAATGCTTTGTAACCTAGAAAGCATGGCCTGTGGGTAGCAATGTTGGTGACATTGCTGGTTCTAGTGGTTATTGCTCCCATGACCTCAGGTACTGGACAGGTGGAGGCGGATGAGGCATGTTTGTAATGACTAATCCTCAATTAATCCTATCTAAAACACCTAGATTGTGAGGGCAGTCACAACAGTCGGGAAACTTCTATATTTTAAGAACCTGTCTGGACCAATAGGTGTTTACTCTGTGTTTATGTGTCAGTTCAAAATGGTGATAACCATTTTGGCATGTGACGTTCTGAATTATTAATAGGTAAGCAGGTGAAGTGGGAGAGGCCGGGCTGCTCCGATAAGGGACGGAGAGACTGCAGAGCCCCTGGGGCGGAGGGGGCGTTGGGGGAAGATGAGAACACAAAGGCCTCACTGGGGCAGGTGTGAGAGGCAGAGGCAGGGTGGGGCTAGAAAGAGACACCTCTGCCGTGTTTCCTAGAGGAAGCCAGGGAACTTGGGGAGGTGGAGAGGCTTTGGTCCGTGGGGGGGAGGGACGCGGAGCCTGTGCCTCTAGGATGGTCCAGGTATTCTCCAAGGACCAGCACCAAGCGCAATGTTCCTTTTGTAGGGGATTCCCCTCAGTTCTCCTGGAATGAAACCCAAGCCAAGGAAGTGTCGGAGCGGCTTGTGGACCTGTTTGTTGGCATCGCACAGCTCATTCAAAAGGGTCGCAATGGTGAGGTGGTTTGGGATTGGCTGGGGCTGCTTAGGGGGCCAGAATGCTTCTCGGGACTTCACTGCGGTGGGGTGGAGGGATGGCATCCCAAGAGCGGTATTTGACAGAGAGTGCCGTGAATTGTCTTGAGCCTTCAGGCAAAGCTGAGGTGCAGTAAGGAGGGAAGCCCTGGGGAGGAACGACAAAGACCCTATTCCCAGGTCTCAGTGGGAGGGTGGAGATACCCTCTCCCTGAGAGAGCTCCCAGGAACCCCAAGATGTACACAGACAGGGAGCCTCAGGGGGTCTGGGGTCCTTATGGGGCTCCAACAGCCCTGCCCACAGTGACTCTTCATCTGAGAGAGAGAGATATGTACATGATTTCATGGAACTTCCTGTGGGCTCTGGATCTGGGAGTCCCTAGTTTGAGGAGAACGGCAGAACATTCCTGAGGGTCACCTTGGTGAGGGGAGAGCTGGGCAAAAGATACAATTAGGGACCTGGGGCAAACGCCAGTGAGGACAGTGCTTCATAAAGGCATCCAGGTGAGGTGCTTCAGGAGAAGGTGGCTTGGGCCCCAGGGTTGGGCGTGAGTGTCGCTGGGGCTGCTTTCTGAAAGCCGCGAGGGTGAGGCTGGCCAGAGAGGAGTTGAGGATGGGATTTCTTCTGGGGAAGTACAGGTTTAGAAGTCCAGTGTTTGGAGAACAAGGCGACTTGACTTCCAGGCTGAACACAGAGTCTGATGGGGAAATTTTTTAGCCTAACTGGCTATAGAGAACGTGAAGGGGAGGCTGTGGGTGGCGAAGGTCTCCCCAGGGCCTGTCCCCCCATCACAAGGCAGGAGAAGATGAGGGCGGCATGGGCAGCCTGTCGGGGGAAGTGGGTAGGAGCTGCCATATGCCATCCTTTGCACTCCCCGCAGGTGCCCCCACCATTGTCTCCCGTAGCGAGTGGGGGGCGCGATCACTGACCTGCAGGGCCCCGCTGACCCCGCCTGTGGCCTATGTCATCACGGACCAGCTCTCGGGGATGCAGTGCCAGGAGCAGAACGTTTGCAGCCAGAAGCTGCGGGACCTTCAGTCCCATTCCACCTTCACAGAAGGCTGGTGCGATGTGGCCTACAAGTAAGAGCCCATATTCAGGTTACCTCTCTAAGGGGGCCTCCCACCTGTCCTTCTGTTTTCCCATTCATGCTGCTTTTAAAAATAAGTGCAAAATATTAAAACAAACATACAAAGTCCAAAATCCTCCCGGGGTCATTAGGAGGGAGGCACCGAACCATTTATTCAGATGTGATCTTGGGCTCTGGGTGATCTGGGAAGGACACAAGGGACCTCGTGCAGTCCCCGCAGCTGCCCTCTTGCAGCTCGTAGGACATTATAGTCTACAAGGTCTTCACAGGTGTCACCCACGTGGGCCCTCCCAGCCACTCTGAGGAACAGACAGGAGAAACACTTCCACCCTGCTTCTCTGGTGAGAACGCCTGGGGAAGTTAGAGAAAGTCACGTCATTGGGGACCCTGAACTGTTCCCAGACTACCTGCTAGTCTAGCACCTGCTCCATTTCCACACACAGACAGGCTTTTACACTGAGAAGCAGTCCCTACCAGATACCCCGAGGGGCCACCTCACAGTGAGACTGGGGTTCCATAGGAGAGGTGGCATTGGGGATGGGGGAAGGACAGCCCCAAGTTAAGATAAGTGTGAGGCATGGAGATTGGGCATCCATGCTGAGGATTATCAGTGGAGGCCCAGATCCCTTGATTTCCCTTCAAGAAGGAGGATGTGTGTGTGTGGATGTCTGGGTGTTTTTTTCTTTTTTCTTTTTTCTTTTCTTTCTTTCTTTCTTTCTTTCTTTCTTTCTTTCTTTCTTTCTTTCTTTCTTTCTTTCTTTCTTTCTTTCTTTCTTTCTTTCAACCATAAGAAGGGAGAGAGAGTGCGTGGGAATAGAGTTTTTCTCCTTGAATTCTAAACACAAATATAATTGCTTTCTGAATTACCCATTTGGAAAGCATAACTCGTATTTTCTTCTTAATTTATATTTAGATGTAAATGAGTAAGAGCACTCAGAGGCCCTGTTGCAGCCCCAGAGTCCCTGGGGTGGGGGTGGGAGCAGGGTCTTCATCCTCCCTCTGGGGGAGCTGTGTTCACTACAGCTCAGCTGCTGTCCCTGCCAAGAAGACCAAGGACCGCCACTGCTGCTGCTGTCACTACTTACTGTGTTCCCCCTACTGCCACAGTATTTCTAGGGGATTTCAGCCATTGTGTCTCTAAGTCAGGTTTTGTGGTGACAATTTAACAACATCCTGTGTGTACAGTGCAGCTGACAGCAGCCACGAGGGGTTATTCATATTGGACTGATCAATGTGGCAGAGGAACCTGCTGAACGTGCTGGCAGCAAAGCCAGGGATGTGTGGGATGCGCCGAGGCTCCCTGAACCTCAGGCTGATGTCAGCACAGGGCGGGAGGTCGGCCCACCTCCATTCAAGGTCTTTGGGGGACTGGGGAGTGTTCTTTCTGTGTGCACCTTGCTGTAGAAGTCGAATATGGCAAGAGTTGTGACAACATGCATTCTGAAGTCTGTGGTTAGAAAGTGGAGGATGAGCAAAATTTAAAGAGGTAAAGAGAAAGGAGGAGGTAGAACAAAAGAATAATAATATATTTATTTAAAAAATAAACTTAAAAAAAGGAACATTTTGAAAAGTTTCTGTGGTAAAGAAGAGCTTACAGGAACTCCTAAAGAGAACTGAAGAAAAAGTCATATAATATAAAGGAATTCCTGAATCCCAGTTGTTTTAAATGTTCAAGTTCTTGATTGTATAATTAAAAACTTGATGAATAAATTCTCATGCCCTTGAAAAATGTTAAGCTAATGTCCTTAGGTTCAAATTCCACTTTGAACCAAATGACTATTTTTAAAGTGAAGTTCTGGGAAGCCCATGTAAAAGAAGTCACAATAAAATTTCAAGGAGTCTGGGAAGTCTAAACTGGGGATGCCCCCTCCCTCCCACTGCTAGGTCACTGAAGTATGGTACTTTTTATGAGCCTCTAGAACCCTTTCCCTTTTGAGGATGGGCGAGAGTTTCCTGCTACAGGGATTTGCCATCTAACCCGTGTTCCCTTGCCTGGCAGCTTCCTGGTTGGGGACGATGGCAGGGTGTACGAAGGTGTCGGCTGGGACGTCCAAGGTCTGCACACCCAGGGCTACAACAGCATCTCCCTGGGCCTCGCCTTCTTTGGCACCAAGGAAGGTAATGGCCATCTCCTCTGCCCCTCTGCCAGAGAGTTGCCTGTACTTTCTTCCTTCACTCCCTCGTCTCCACACTCCTCTCTTTTCAGACTATATCATACTCTCTTGAAGTTCTTTCCTCACTTGGATTCTATGACACGGCATTCTTTTTGGCCTCTTCCTCTTCTCTGGTCTGCGCTCTGGTGAGATTGACACTGCTTGAGCTCACAGTTTTGCTGTCCCTTCTGGAGGCTGAAGTTGTGTCACACTGAGCCTGCCCCTGGCAGAGACAGACAAACATGGCCTCTCTCTTTCTCCAGTGTCTCCTGTGGGGAGGACCCAACCAAAGCCGGCAGGCAAGGAAGTCTGAGAAATATCCTTCGCAGGCTTTTAGCTCCCTGCAAAACAGAGAAGAGCCCAGGGCAGGAAGGAGTGAAGGGCTAACAGCTGAATAACTGGCACCTACCAGCATCCTCATCTGCTAACTGGGGTGGGGAACAGCTTTTATCGCACAGGTTTTCTGTGAGAATTATATGAGTTAATGCATGAAAAGATCACTTGCCACATGCTGGATTGTGGGAGCTACTAAGGAAGTGTTGTCGCCCTTTTCTTCATGCTAGAGGGTACCTGACTGGGTCAGGTGGGCCTCCCTTTGCATGTAGCTTTTATGGCCTCCCAGCTCTTCTACTTCGAGATGGAGTAGATAAAAGTTTTAGTCTGGCACTTGAAAGAGGTCACCAGCTGGGCCTCTAAGAGCTCTGCCCAAGTAATTCCTTGCTTCTTAGTCCCCCTGGCCTAGCTACTGGACCAGCTCCTCTCTTCCCATTCATTAGCTATTCAGGCCCAGGTGGTCATCTTATCCTCCCTCCAGGTCTGGATGGGGTTGGAGTTTCTTGCTGACAGTTTGGTGTTCCATGTCATCCTCTTTCAGGCAGCAGTCCCAGCCCGGCTGCCTTATCAGCTGCAGAGGATCTGATCTTCTACGCCATCCGGAAGGGTCATCTGTCACCCAGGTATATTCAGCCACTTCTCTTGGAAGAAGAGGTGTGCCAGGCCCATAAGCCGCAAGCACCCAGGAAAGGTAAGGTCCTCAGTCCCACCTCACCCTCCTCCCAGTGACACCTAGCCTTAGGGGACTTTTCTTGGACCAAGGACACTTCACACTGAGATCCAGAAAATTCTGAAAGGGTACTTCTCTGATCTCTTCTTTCCACTGGAATGATATATAACCATGGAGCCATTTTTGAGATAAATATGTATATACACACATTTTTACTGTATCAAAAGTTCTTCACCAAATACTAGGGGCTCTTCTAGGTACTGAGGATAGAGCCATGAGCAAAACAAAGAAAACTTCACATTTCTGTGAAGAAAGACAGAAAATTAAGAAATCAACAAGTAAAATACATATGATTTCAGATGGCAGGAAGGCAACAGAGAAAAACAAAGCATGGTAATGGGGTGGTACACCCCCACACACATTTATGTATACGATGTGAGCACACACACACACACACGCAACTTTTCTAAATGCAAAAATATGACCACAGTGGTGAAAAAAACTTGACTTCACAGATTACACTGGTGTCAGAGTGAACATTTCAAGAAAGTAGGTGATTGAAACCATGCCCCATTTTGGAGCGAGCAAGCAGCAACCTAAAACCAGTACAATTAATGAACGCTTTCAGTAGCTTCATGCTCTCTGCTAACGTGGATCTTTCCTTGGATTCAAGGATATTTTTTATTAATCTTTTAAAAATTGTAAATCTCTAAAGTTTTTCTTGCTTTCAGACAGGTGCTGTCTTCAATATTTTGATAATCTTTTCATGTTTGTAGAGTTCTTTATGGATTTCAAATTACTTCCATATGTACATGTGATCAGTTTAAAGGGTCAGCTGATTTCTGCATATTGGTCCTCTCACATAAGTACCCACACCTGCATATATTTGCAATGCACATTCAAGCAGGTAGGTACACTTTGTCTGTTGAACGGAATGGCCATGACTCTGTACGATCAGTAGTTCTTTCCCTTCTGCTCACACACTTGTTTCCACAGTTGTAATTAGAACCTGTAGATTTTTGCCTCTGTCTACTGGTTGTAGCCACCTGACCAGACAATCCCTATCTGGCCTTTCCTAGAGCCCCACAGCTGAGTTCACGTTAGGACGTGCCCATGGTGCCAGAGGTTGGGGAGACTGCGGAGCAGCCCAGCCTGCGGTGGTGTGATTATCCATGAGTGGGTGCAGGTGCATTCCCATGGACTTGGTTTTTCACCTTGCCACAGCTTGCCCCAGCATCATCACGCGGTCAACTTGGGAAGCCAGAGAGACATACTGCCCTAAAATGAACCTCCCAGCCAAGTATGTCATTATCATCCACACTGCTGGGGCAACCTGCAGCACGTCCATGGACTGTCAGAGACGCGTCCGAGACACACAGTCCTACCACATGGACAAACTGAACTTCTGTGACGTTGGATATCAGTAAGTGGGATTGGGGGAAATGTGAACCTCCTTTTCTTCAAGGTTATAGGAGGGAGGGCTGGGAGAGGGAATTGATATTTACCGAGCCTTCCGTTGTGCCAGGGGCTTTACGTAAGACCTGACATTTTATTCAGGTAGGGGTCTGGTCTATCATTCAGACATAGCTAAGGGTTAGCATCTCTCCTGGGCCCGTTCTCCTCAAGGGAAGACTCTGAGAAGAAGACATTAGAAGCAATCATGATAAAGCAAGACTGTGAGACCCTTATGGAAGACCACTGAAGGCTGTGCCTTTTTTATGTAATCCCTTCCAACCACTCAGAGACACAGACCCTCCCCACCCTCTTCCTCAGTCTGGCCCAGCCCCAACTTGCTCCCCCTGATGTTAGAATCCGTTAATAGCTCTGGCACTGTTTACTCCATTTTATACATAGAGGAGCTTTTAACCTTTTTGGGCCCCTTTAGCCTCATCTCTAATTGGGACAACAATACTGTATCTACTTGAAGATGTAGAGTGAAATCTAAATGTTCTCTTTTGGTTCCTGTAATGCCAGATCTATCATAAAGAAACACATTGAGCTAATAGAATAGCAGAAGTTAAATTGAAGATGTCTTGGAATTTCATAGAGGGGAAGAAAGGTTAGAGGATGATAAATTGCAATCATTCATCTGTGACTTAATCACAACAGCTTTTGCAAAGTCTCAGGTGGATTTGCTTTAGCAGGTGTCTTTTTCTGGGCTGACTGCCTCTCCTCTTAACTTCCCCTGTAAAAGCAGCTTTTGCAAATAGGAAAACCTGCTACTGCCCTTTGCAGGACTTTCCACGGCCTTGCCTTGGTTGTTCAGCACAGATAACAGGGAATGGAATATAAATTTGAAAACCCTGAGTGGAAGATGCCAGAAGCTAAGGGATGTTAGTTTTCCTTTCTCATTCAGCTTTCAGGGGCTCAATCCCATTCTTTGACTTTGAAAACCTGTTATGGGCTCCCCTGCACCCTCCAGTCTCATGACGCATCTCTAACCCCGTGTGGACTGTGATCAAGACAAAGCACCCCCTCACTCACCATTTTCTAACATTTTAATTAGTAGTCATTTGGTATCTGCTATGCGCCCAGTGCTTAGCAAGATAAATATGGTTCCTTCCCGTGTGGAGGTAAGAGAGTAGATAGCAAACTTCATAAGTGAGAGTGAGGCAGTATAATGGGTGAGGAAGAGGGTGGGGCACAGGATGAATCATTAGCAAGGCTTTGGGGGAGTGAATGTGTCAGGGCAGGGCTCCTGGTAAAAGGGCATCCAAGTTGGGGCGTAGATAATGAGTGGGGGTTTGTCAGGCAAAGAAATGCCCAGGTGAGGACAGCAGCATATGCTAGGGCCTGGGGTCCAGACAGAGCACATATCTTTGAGGAACTGAAGAACTTTAACTCATACTTAAAAGTAGATATCAGAGGGGAATGGTGAGAGGTGAGGCTAGAGGGGCCAATGGGAGCCACACCATGAAGGGCCTTGAAGTGGGTCCTGACAGATTCAATTTAAAAGCAACTAGAAGGTTATGCTGTATGATAGGATTCATATCTTAGCAAAACCATTCCAGGTGCTATTTTAGGAATGAGTTGGAAGGAGGCAAAACTCTAGGCAGGGGAGCTATTGCAGAAATCCAGACAAAAGGTGGTGGTAACTTGGAGCAGTATAGCGGCCGCTGGCATGGAAGGAAGAGGAGAGACAATTGACAAGCCATGACTTATGATTAGATGGGGGAGGGAGAGGGAGAGGGAGAGGGAGGTGTTCAAGATGATGCCCAGTTTCCTGGCTGAGGAAATCACAGAAGAAGCTGGGTTTGTTTGGCCATGGTGGTTTTTACAGATAGTAATTGAAGCTATGGGACTGGGTGCTTGTCCAGGAAGAGCATGCTGAGGGAGAAGAGAGAAGAGGCTAGACCAGAATCCTGAGGAGCACCACCTTCTAGGGAGGGGCGGGGGACGGCAGAGGGCCCTGTGGGAAAGCAGCAGGGAAGAGGAAAATCAGGAGGGTGTGGCTCCGGGAAGCCTGTTCCCATACCCAATTCCGGGAAGCCCAGGGAAGTGAACATTTCAAGAAGAGAGTGGTCAGCAGGGCCATTGTAACTCAGGAGAGAAAATGCTTCCATTGTACTAGTGTCAAGGTGGTCACTGGTCACCTTGGATGGGTCAGATTCAGGGGCATTGGGGGGAAAAAGGCCACGTTGCAGTGGACTGAAGTTGTTGATATCATTGCTTGTCACTGACTGACCTCACTTCTCGGGTTCAGACACTGTGATTGCTTGTTTTGGTTTTTTGTTTTTTTTTTTTAGTTTTGTTTCTCTTTTTTGTCTCTGTGTACATTGACATAATAGAGACATTCAGTCAATATATGATAAATGAATGAAAGAATGAACAAATGATTCAAGGAGTAAATTAAACCAATTCTTTTTCCCAAAGTGACTTTCTGTATTTTTCTTTGCCCAATCCTAGTTTCCTGGTGGGCCAGGATGGTGGTGTGTACGAAGGAGTTGGCTGGCATATCCAAGGCGCTCACACCTATGGCTACAATGATATTGCCCTAGGAATTGCCTTCATGGGCAACTTTGTAGGTAAGGAGTGAGCATGGGCGGAGGGTTTCTGGGTGGTGAAGCATAGTGTGAAATGTTTGAGGAGCATGAGGGACAAGACAGGCCTGTGGTGTCTGGCAGTGTCAGTGATATATTTTAGCTTTCAGGGACTCAGTACAGGATACAGGTCACCAGGAGTTCCTCCCAGGCAGAAAATTTCCCCCAAATTCACCCATTCCCATACCTAATTCCATCTATCTTTATAGCCATGGCCAAGGCAAGCATGGAGCAGGAGAGAACATAATCTTTTGCAAACTTTGGTGCTTTTATGGTTCAGTTAGCAAAGGCATCCTCTTCCTTGGTAACCATGGCAACAATGTTGAGGAACATCACTGCCTGTTATGGCAAAGCATGGACAGTCCAGTGCTGCCACGTCTGCCTCCTGGTGCCTGCTGAGAAGTGGTGTGCTGTGCTGCAGTTCCTATCCAGAGCACTGTTGAACTTTCCAGAAGAAGCTTTGCAAAGAGGAATCAGGGAACACAATGACCTTGTTTTCTCTTTGTGTCTGGTAGCCACAGATTTTGTGAATTTGTTGGCTCTGGTGGTGGGGGTGCAGGAGAGGGAGACGGGTGCAGGTGATTAGTCCTGCTCTAAGCAAGTAACTTTTGAGATTCTGATGATTGATGTGTATATGTGTTTCGCAGAAAAGCCACCAAATGCTGCAGCATTGGAGGCAGCCCAGAGCCTGATCCAGTGTGCAGTGGACAAGGGGTACCTGACTCCCAACTACCTGTTGGTGGGGCACAGTGATGTTATCAGCACTCTGTCTCCTGGGAAGGCGTTGTACAACATCATCAGCACCTGGCCTCACTTCAAACAGTGAGGAGGCACCAGCTCCTCCTGAGACTGCTCCCGCCCCCTCCCTGGCTGCTGGGCCTCCCCTGTTCTCGCTCTCCATCCTGGTTCAACACCTCATGTCCCCTTCCTGCCAACCCCATTCTATCCCTCCTGAGTCAGGTTAGTGTGGTCCTCTCTCTCCTCTTAGCATCCTCCAGTGGCCCCCAACCCCCATAGAGGCATCCCAGCCCTCTGAGTCAGAGCCCAGCCTTCCCTTCTCTTCATCCTCCTCTCCCCTAGGTGCTCACCTCAGCCCCGTAACACTATGGCTGGACCATGGTTGACTTCTCACTTTTTTGCATGTGTTCCTCTGCCTGCACGCCTTTCCTGCTGTCTGGAGAGCAGCCCCAAGCCTCACACAGGACCTGGGTCGATGCCCTCTCCCCTCCTCTCGGCTCACATGCTGACTTGTCCACATGTGGATGCAGCCCTTATTCAGGACCTGTTTCTAGACATGTATTGTCTCCACTGGATTGTGGGGTTATCCAGTTTTACTCATCTCTGTGTCCCCAGTCCTTCTGTATTGTCTGGAAACCAGTAGATGCTACAGTTATTTGTGGAAGAAATGGATGAATAAATGAATGAATGAGTTGTCCAAGTCTCCAGTTCCTTTTAAATTTGCTCATCATCCCCTCTTTGGGGAAGTCTTCCTGGACAGTCCCCCTATCCTGCCAGCATTCTCTGCTCCCATTCCTCCCCAGTTTCAGGGCCAGCTCTGGTCACTTGTTTGTAATGGTTGCTGTGTCTCTAAAGACTCTGTCTCTATTGTCCCAGAGCTCCCTAAAGGCAGGGACTCTGCTCCCTAAAGGCAGAGATGGAGGCCGCCCAGTGCCTGCAGCCTGCCCTTGCCCAGCCAGCCCAGCAGGGGGATGAGCGATGACCCCTCCTTTGAGACAAGGCACACTAGTACTGCTAGTCACTAGAAGCACAGGAGCTGGCTCCTGGTTTGCCTGATCTGGACACAAAGGGAAGAGGAAGAAGGGGAGAGATACCTGCCGCCCCACCCCTCTCCCACTCCCCCACCCCATCCCAAACCTTTGGCATTTATACTGTGTTTTTGTTCTAGAGTGTTTTCCATCTCTTACAACCAGGCACGTTTTAACAACTTCACAAAGACTGTCCCTGAGGTTTCACTGGATTTCCTCTGTCCATTTGCCCTCAGGTCACCTGGGGGGTCAAGTAGGCCCAGGGGACTTAGTGCCCCTTGCAGATTTACACACCAGGGGGAGGGGTCCAGGAGGAGAAGCCCCAGGATGGGAGGGCACTCTCCCGGAGGCTGCGGCCAGCCCAGTCCTCCCTGCCGGGGTGCGGCTGGGCACAGACTTCCTAGAGAAACCTTCTGAGCTGCCACCATGTGTTCCCTTCTCTTACAACATTGAGGGTGAGTCTAACACCCCCTCATGCAGGAAGCAGCCACAGGGGTGGATGTGAGATGCTGAGAAATGAATGGTCTCATGAAGAAAGCTACCCTTCTGATTTCTTGGCCTCCTTTACCATCATCAGCACAGGGCTCCTCCCTTCGAATCAAACTCCACCTTCAGGCCGCAGGGTCTCTCTGGCCTCCCTCAGCCCCTGCGCAGGCCGGCTTTGGCTTTGGACGAGGGAGCTGCAGACGCTCTCACTGCCGTCAGCACTCATCCAAGCCTCCTCAGATCAACAGTATGGCACAATCTGGATTATTACCCTCTCAAAATTATGTACTTTTTATTAGGCTTAAAGACACAAAGTAAACTCAGAGTACTCAGCTGGCAACTGCTTTTTCAAGGCAAATCCTTGTAGTTGCCTCTTCTGCCTCCTTAGTGTAAAGAGATTCTGCCCAAGTCCCCTTAATCATTTAAAGTCAGTTCGTATTAACCCCTGACTCCCTCCCTTTCCCTCCAGAGTGTTGTAAGGATTAAGTGAATTAAATGTGGTAGAGTCTTAGAATTTAGAGTTGATCTATAATAATGGTTTCATTAAAATCAACATAGGTATTGTTACCTTTGTCGCTATTGTGATTGTTGCTAGGACTCCTGTGTGACTGTGGCAGGAAAGATTTGCTTCTTGGGCACCAGTCTCAGCTGCCCTGGGGGCAGTTTGGCGCACGCTGGTGAGAGGAGACTGAACCCAGACCTTGACATGCACAGGGAGGAGCCGGGTGGGTTGCAGGTTGGGCAGGACCGAGGGAGCTCCTGGTGAAGGAGCAACACGCCTCCTTCACGGCCCCTGCCATCGTGCACACGTGCGTGTGTGCGTGTGTGTGCGTGCGTGTGTGTGCATGTGTCTAGAGCTTATCTTGTCAGTTGTTTTCCACAACTGTAAACTTGAAAAAAACAAATGACTGACGAATGAACTTTTCTTTGGCTCCGGAATAGACCACTAATCTGGTTAAGCCCCCTAATCTCACAGAAAAGTGAACCCAAAGTACACAGATGACCCGTTCAAGTTCACTCAGTAAGTAAAAGAAGGACCAGTCAAATTCTGAGCATGGCACAGTTCCTATCACCGCTCTGGTCTAAACCACTTTATGGCCCTCCATTGTGACAGAGTAAAGTAAACCATCTTAGCAGCATTTAGGACTTTCCACAGTCGCACTCCAACCTACCCTTTTCCACAGAATGAGCCTGAATGGGCAATTTACAGGCTCACCTCCTGGGGTTCCCCCTCTTGGGGGCCTTGGCCCACACTATCCCCAACCCACACTCTTGATCTCTCCAATTCCACCCGGTTTTAAGACACTTTTCAAGGCTTGGTCTTCCCGAAGGCTTCCTGCTTCCCCAGACCAGAAACACCACCCCCTCCCCTCGGTGCCCAGGGACTTGGCCTGGGCCTTCCTGCAGCTCATCACTGCTCCCCACCTACCCCTGGCCTTTCCCCTCCTGACTTGGATGCCAAGGATGTGTCTGCACCTTCTGGTCTCTGTATCCCCAGGGCCAGTGCAGGGCCTGGCATACTGGGCGCCGCCTGTGGGTCTGTGGGATGGGGGTAAGGCCCATGCCAGCTGGGTGGGGCGAGCAGAAACAGCTCTTCCCTCGGCTGTCCTTGGGACACTTGTCACAGAGTGGAAAATCCCAGTGTCTTCATGCTCCCTGAAACCCGCCCTCTACTGTAGCATGTCAGACTTCTCACAGGTTAATTCCATCTTAATTCCAGGCCATCCACTGCTCCTGCTCTCCAGTGCCCTCCCATCAGTGTGGGATTTGGGAGGATACCCTCTCCAGCACCCACGTTCCCCCACCACCCTTAGAGATTTCTGTGACCTTTTCTCTGGCAGCCCGGGGCAAGCACTGGCCTGCTGGCCCATCATGAAAGGTTTTCTCTCGGAGACCCCTGCCCAACTTCTCCCTGTGCTCCCTGGCTCTTCTTCTGTCTCCTTGGTTTCTTCCCCCACCCTGACCCCCCACATTTTAGTCTTCTAGCGCCTCTGTCTCGGTCTCGGTCTCCCTCTCACCTCTTTGCCTCTTTTACATTCTTCCTCTCATACTGCCTCCCTCTCTACCCCTCAGTGCTTCTCATTTTTCCTCTGCCTGCCCTTCTGCTTCTATGCAGCTTCTATATGACTGTTCCTGTCTTTGCCTTTCTCTTTTGTTCTAGAATATGGCCGTGTGGAAGAAGGAGGGGCCTGGGCCTTATCCCTGCAGCCTTCCACCAATTGGCTCCACTCTGCCCCCAAACCAAGCCCTACCTGTTCCAGGGCTGCCAAGAATGCTAAAGAGTGGGACGAGGGGGCAGGAGGCCAAGGGGGCGTTGCTCTGGGGAAGGTACACATTTTCCAGAGGCTCAGAGACGCACAGAATCAGGACAGGTGTGTTTCTGGTCCAGCAGGTAATGCTGGGCAGGGCAGGCTGAGGGCAGGGCCTCAATTAGAAGAGCCGTTCTGAAAGAGGGAAGGTGTTATTACGTGGGAGGGGTGTTGGGCAGGGGTGGGAGCTCCTGGGAGGTGTGGCAGGGACTCTGGGGGACATTCCACTGTGGGTTGGAGTAAGAAGTGCCTCCCATGGCGGGGAGCTGAAGGTTCCTCCTCAACATGGCCAAGAGGCCTTTGGTATACAACATTCATGGTACCTGGGTGAGGGGGCGGCATATTTCTTACTCATCCTCCAATGCCCAGCTCACATGCCCTTTCTTCTAAGAGTCTGGCTCTTGAAGCTCCCAAATTAACATCCTGCTATTCTATTCTTTGGCACTCTGTTCATCTGTAATTCTCTCTCTCTCTCTAGGTTTTACTGTCTGACTTTCCCATTAGACTATAAGTGCCATCAAGGCAGAGGTTATGGTTACCCCATTCATCTCTATACCTGCTCGTGGTACATAGTAGGTGCTGAGTAGACATTTCAGGTGTGTGTGATCACAAGGTCTGGGAATAGGTGCTGTGATTGTCTTTCGACTTCTTTAGCAGCAGGTGCCAAGTGCAGGTGGTTTGTCTGGCCTGTCCCCACTGAGCTCCCACTGAGCTTGTCCTAAGGGGGGTCGTGGTGAAGGAGGGGAAGTTGCTCAAGGAGGGGAAGATGCAGGGATCAGAAAGAAACTCGCCTGGAATCAAACCAGATTTCAGTAGACCCACAGTGTGGACATCGTAAGTGGATAATAGACAGTGTTCAGTTCCTAATAACGTTCAGTGGTCTTTCCTCTGTGCAGTCTTGGTGCTGGGCGCATATTTGTGGTTTCATTTAATCCTTGAGACGGCAGGGGCTGTCCTTCTTATTCTGAGGAAACTGAGGCTCTGCTCGAAGAAACAAAGTCACTTTGTGATGTCCCATAGCTAGTGAGTGCATGCCAAGGCTGAGCCAAGCTTCTGTCCCACTGCCTACACGATATCAGGCTGTCCTCCAGGTTGCTCATATTCCTTCTACAACTGGTGACTGAAAGTGGACAAAATACCCAGGGGTCCCCTGACTCAGAGTTCACTGAAGTAATTATTTCCCTTGATTTATTTATATTTTTCAATGAACAGGAATATGCGTGTAAAATCCCCAAGTAAATGGTAGAGTTCTGAATTCATGTTGC